CTAAAACACCAAAACCTCGAACAGCTGCGCACCATAAATAACCACAGCTCCCGGTCGCCACAAAGCTTAAATTTCAGCGACATACATATATATATTATATATATATGAAAATGTACAGTTTCAAATAAAATTAAACAGCATAAAGGGGGGAGCGGCGGCGAAGTAAACAAAGGCTTAACATGAAATCTATTATAACAATATCATTACATGTTTGGAATTATTTACCTATAACCATAAATTTAAATTGTTATACTAAGAATATTTTCTAAAACTAATTTAGAAAAGAACGATAATATAAACTGCGCTACAAATTAACATATCTTTTTTCAATAATTCAGATCCAATAATTAATGTGTTATCCTATTCTTTGCACAAATATTTTTTTACAAATAAAAAATAAATAAGAAACAAAGCTTACTTTTGAAAAAAATTGATTTATTTTCATTTATTTATTTATTTATTTATAATTTTATATATTTTTTATTTTTTTTGGTTTCATACGTATCTTTAAAAGAGAAATTTTCTGAATAACGCATAAAGACGCTCATACAGTTAAATGCTTGAAATATGGAATTTGCATTCAGGAATTAGCATGTTAAGTAGATTAAAAGATATTATCCATATTTGAACACTATCCTCATGATTGAAAGAAACTTCCCGATATAATGCGACGAGGTATCAGTCATATAAACTGAGTTAACTTCTGTGCTTACTTTTTCATTATTAAAGAAGCGGGGTTATAAGGTTCTTCTCTCGCCTTCTTAGCATGTCTTTGTGTTGTGGTGTGGTGGTCAGCACGCTCGACGCGAATTCGAGAGGTCAGTGGTTCCAGTCCTGGCGAGGGCATTGCTCATTTTTCATCTTTCCGGCTTCAAAAAAACTAATGTCTCTATAAGGTGAAAATTACCATTGCAAATTACATATTTTGTATTTTTTTAAGTATATTTAAATGATAAATTAAAAAATATATGTTACCACATACAAAGAAGTTTTTCTATGCAGAAAATTATTTCCATAGTAAATATGTACCGATAAAGCAAAAGATCTTTATAAGTTTGGTTTATTTGGATTATGGCGAAACGAACGAAGGCTCGAAGGCTGGTAAAGGATGTCTTTCTGGAGGAATTTTTAAGAGAAACTGTTTCATATTCACTTTAAACATGAAGGAAAACCAAGAAAACCAGAATGTTCCCCGAATTTGAACCCAGGTCAAACCAGTGTTTAGGGACTTTACCGTTTGGTCGCTGGCGTATTGAAGAGCTCTTGAAATAAGTATAATGAGATGCTTTGAGTTGAACAAGATATTAAAGAAAACATAAGTCGCAATTCGGGGGTCGACTGGGGGCAACTCCCGACGTTCTGGTTACGACCTGTATCTAGACAGACTCAGACTCGACTTCTGGGGTAAATAGTCAATCTTCACAGTGACTAGAACCATTGTTCATTCGGTGGTCTGTTAAGGCTCGGCATGGACCGTACTAGTGCTGTCTTGTCTGCCCTTTGGTTGTGGGGATGTTAGATGGTTAAATCTCGAAGATTGCCCTTGGGGATTTGGCTCACCTTGTCAACAGTGCAGGACAGTCTTTGACATTGATCTTCGTTCTCTTTGCTGGCAGCTGCTTGCCGGCCGCCTTAACATGCGTTTCATAGCTTCTGAATGTGTTAAATTTTGTTCCTCCTGGTTGATCCATGGAGGTATGGGTTGATCGGGGGGGGGGGGGGGGAAGTTTGAATAAGGAAGTTTGAAAATTTCTTATTCATTATGAAAATGCTGTAGATGCTCATAATTAGCTCATTATTAATTAAATATGTATTATAAATTAAATGTATGTGAAAGTATGTTAGAGTAATTGGAAAACAAATATTAAACGTTTTCTAATATTAAAATATGGAATTTGTAAGAAAGCTAAATAACTTTAAACTAACATCAATGGTTAAAAATGGAAACTTAGCATTAATATATTCTCTCAAATCCGATATACGACTGGTTGATTATATATATATATATAAAGAATAATGAGCCAGAACTTGTTTATGCTCATTGCTTGTTTTTGGGCAAGTCAAAATTGATTTATATATATTATTTGCTAAAAGGGCTTGCAAATTTTTGAATTCCTGTGAAGCATAAACAAGTTCTGACTCATTATTCTTTTGAGCATTATAAAACTACAATAAGAGTGTAAAAGAAATTCATTTTTACTTTAGTGTAGACCAGATTTTCATTTAATATTTGTATTATATGCATAATTTCAGTGTATTTAAAAAACGAAAATGGAGGCTTGTAGTCTAAATCAAGCGTCTCATTTCTATGGATACATGACGTTTTGCAGCAATCATATTTTTCTTGGGAATTCAAATGCTTAAAAAGAGGAAAAGCAAAGCCAAGCAGCGCATTTCATGGATTTTTCTTTGTTGTGTTCATCTTTAGTATATTAAGGGGTGGGATGGAAAAGTTGGCTATTATTCGTTGGTATCGTGGAGTTGGAACATAGGCAAGGCCCCTCACAATTAAATTTTGCGCACGTGGTAGACCACTAGTACTCCATGATAATTCCATGTGACGTGCTATTCAAATAACGTTAATTCACATTGTCGAGAAACGCGTACTATTGCGAAATGGGAATACCAACATAGCTTGGTGACCTGGCACACTTCCTATAAAATTTCCTGTGATGCTATGGGCCACATTATGTAATAATACGTACGCTCCTTAAGCAAACTAAAATCACATGGTAGATACAAGGAAGCTGCAAAGTTTTCGAAAATTTTATGGAACATTTTTCTAGCTGAATTTTTTTCTTTAATCTATAATACCTTCAGTTATTTTAAATTCATGCACAGAATAAAATGCATGAAACGTTAAAGAAATATTAAGATGTGATAGACGAAAATTAAAATCCATTTATATGCTCTTTCCCATTGCAATATACGACAGATTTTCTTTTTCAACACGCACGGTGCTTTCGAAACATTTAAGATTTCTGATTTTTTGTTCATTTGAGATATCTAACACAAACGTTTCATTTCATCTTTTAGGAGGGATGACTTTGTCATAAAACTTTCAAGAAAAATTTCTTTTGTTTGTTTGTTTACTAACCCATGCGCTTGAGGCTTATGGTAAGAAGAAAAGTCGTTAGAGAAGCTGAAGACAGAGGTGAAATGTTTTTTCTTTAAGTGTGAAATGTTTTTTTCTTTAAGTAGTTGCGAATAAGATACAGATTCCAAAATACTTTTTTGTAATTAATTTTCTTAAAATCAATGACTACAAAATATGAACTTGGTGGACAGGAAGATGTTTTTGCAAATATTAATGCAAGCATAAGAAGCAAATTTCTCTGTTTGAAATTAAAGATACAAGACAGGTAAGGTGTCTTGCTTTAGAAAAAATACAGATTTTTAAGCCAAAAATATAATTGCCTGTATAATTTGCACCAATATATTATATAAGTTTCTGGGAAGAGTAACAAAGTGTAAACACACTAAGACAATGACTTGCAATACCTTATGAGTTTCCTTAACAGAGGTTCATACGAAACAGACATTTTCCCCCCAAAGTGCGAAAATTGCTTTAATATTTACACTATGTTAGGAAAAACGTTATTTGTAGAAATGCATCCGGGAAGATAAAAACAAGATAAGAAAGAATGAATTAATAAACGACAGGCGTATATGCTGTATCAAATGCGTTTTTATAAATGAATAACTTAGAAGTCTGGTTGGTCAGATGCTAATAATTAAAACTGCACTAATTTGCGTGGTGATGAAGCAGTTAGTAGTAGGGAGGAAATTCAATCTCCCATAAAATAAATTGCATTCTTTCTGGTGCTTTCATCCCTAGTAACAGCTCTCCACTCTAGGTTTCTTCGTTTTCATTCATTGCGAATGTACTTTCGGGACTATCTGCTTGCTTGATAACTATAACGACTCTCCATAAAGACAGCAAGAAATTAGCAGTCACTTCCTAAGGACAATAATCTTAAAATGAGCTAGTTCCTCTAAAAATCGGTTTCCCATGCAAGTTATTTTTTAAGATCTGGAATTACAGTAAGCCTTCATTCAATTGGTAATTAAAATTTTATCGCATCTTTCATAATTTTATTATTTGTATATAATTATATTCAATATTATTTAATGTTTAGAATTAAATAGTCATTACAATTGTACTTTTATTATGAAACGGTAGCGTTTACCGCAGAAGTTAAAAAGAGAAAGTGAGATTTGTTTTAAAAAAATATTTTAATAAATAATCTTGCAGATAAAAAAATAAAAATTACAACAAATAAACAATAAAGAAATATTTTTTAAATGCTTGAATTTCAATTAATACTAAAATACACAATCATTCTTAACTGCAGCATTTCAAAAATTAATTGAAAGTAGAAAATTAATTAACATAATTACTGTTTAAAAAAACATTTTTTGGGAGAAATTGAAAAATGACTCTCCACCACCCAAAGAACAATACTAATGAACTTCAGATTTGTGGTCAAAGCGTAAAAATATACAATGATGAGGTAATAAGGTTTCTGTTTGGAAACGAACGTTAAAATTTGGTGTCAGGTGCAAAGGTTAAACGTGAAGAACATGGTTTGACTAACAAAAACTTTGGAGGACCATAAATAAGCAACAGTTGAAATCGTGCTAAGCACTGCAAGACAGGCATCAAAGCAACGTGCATGATTTGAATTTAATAGGAGTAGGTTTTTATATGTCTTTTACTAAATTATGTTAAAGTTTTAAAAGTCTGATTTTATATTAAAAAGTTGCAGACAAAAAATTCTTAAATAAATAAAAAAAAAAAAACCTCACTTACGTTAAAAACTGAAAGTTCACATATTTTTAACATAAACTTTCTCATGTAGCAGAGAGATTCGTTAAATAGATACGTTATAAATTGAGAATTCTTAAATTCGAACTGTTAAAATTTAAACTCATAAAGGCACAGCAAATATTGATATGCAAATGTCATGGTGATATCTGGATAGTGAAAAATCAAATACCTGCAATCCGCCTTTCCCAAGCACTGCGATAAGTCTTTAGTTGCTTCTTTCTAATAGTTTCTTCTTTCTTTCTTAATTTTTGTAACGTTTTCAATCGCCTTGCTTCTGCTTTTGCGTAAGCTTCTAAGTCTTCTTTATATTGGCCATACATCTAATGAAAATAATACTAAATTGAAATAAACTATCAAGACAGGCTCATTCGAAATCAAGCAATAATTTACTTAAAACTAATAAAATTGAGCAGATCTGCAATTACTAAATACCTATTTTGTAAACAATTTACTAACGCAAATATTTCACAAAAACTGCCAAAAATTAATATACCACTCAATGATGTACGAATAAATCCACAAATAAAGATTAAACCATTTCCTGTCGAAAGGAAAATATTTTTAAAATCAACACAAAATTTCTTTTGTAATTTATTCTGTGCCTAGTTAATACAAGGCTCACCAGCGTCCGAGAGGTAAAATGGCTAAACACTGGTAATTCATTCCGGGTTCGAATCCCGGCAAACGGGCTGGCTGCATGCGCGTTTTCGTGGTTTTCGCGTTTTCGTGTAACGTGTATACGAGTCAGTTTCCCTTAGAAAGTCCTTCATGAAGGCAACCCCCTTAGGCAGATACCCCTCGAGTGCTTCGCCGTAATTAAATAAACCAAACTAAGGTAATACATTTCATATGTTAAATAAAAAATATGTAATTTTTATTTTTTGAAATGCTGTGAAAGCACAACATTAGTACAATTCCTTTGTACGAAATCATTCTGGTTTGTGAGAGGCTTAGAAAACATTTTGCATCCAATGAAAAGTCGTACTTTCTTATGACGTTATACTTACGTACATGAATATACTCTGACTGCTACAGTGTGTAAGAGTTGTCCTTCAACTGTGACAACTTTTCTTAACGATATAATCTAATTTATCAATTTTAGTACGATTCAGAATTTGATTTATGTTTTAAATCATCCTTGTGTTAGTCTGCAACATTAATTTCCTTTTTTGGTGTTGCTGTAAACTGATATATCATTTAAAAAAATACAGAGTTACTACTATTTGAAATATTAAATGCGATCTGAGGTAAACTGCAGTTTTGTAGATTTCTTGCAATTGCTTTTCCCATGTAAATAAAGAGCGCAAAAATTTGCCACCACGAATTCTTACCTTTGATTTTCATTCACTTCACTAACTTCAATAATTTCAACATGATTTCAACATTATTACTAGAAACATCATAACTTCGGATCATACTTCATGATTGCACAAGTGAATGATTTATGATTTTGGTGATGCTTTGTGTGTGAAAAGCACTTCAATTTACAGCTTAAAAAAATTAAAATCGACGTATTTAAAAATTTTATAAAAAAAACATTCCCGTAGACACCCTGATTCTTCAACATATATTTAACAATAATTTAACGAGCATAATTTTAAGTAAATATAATAGTATATATTTTATAATTTGCTATTTATTAAGCATTGGCAATAAAGAACATCAGCAGAGAATGGTTTAATAAATAATTATTAAAACTGGTAATTTACTTTAATACTTATTAATTTAAGTATTAAAACAAAATAAAGAAGTTTAATTTATGATTCAGTTAAATGAATCTCTTGAAGTTAAGTAATAATTCATTCTTTGGTTATTTTCCGCTAATGAAATGACTCCATATTTTTCATGAAATTGCTTCATTTTTCCAGCATTTCCAGTTTTTTCTTACATCTAACCGGACATTTTCTCAACGATTTATTTCGACACTAGAATTTACCTTATTATTTTTTAACTTTCAATCTTCTGAAGTCTAAAATTAGTATTCCCATTAAATTGCCTTTTAATTTGAACTTTTCAGCAGTTTCTATAATTTTCTTCGATATCTACCTCTGCGTGATGAAACCTTTTGCACCTTCCATATAGAAAGACGTGGAAAAACCTGTTTCGAGTGTCACCTATTTTCTGATAGAATATTCATTTATTTTCCATACTAATGTTTCTAGTAGCAGTTCTGAAATAATATTGAAATAATTGAAAATATCGAAAACTGAAGCCAATAGTAACTTTTATGTTTATTTAAGCTAACTTTTACTTTGAATTAAATGTTTCTATTTATTTACTAACTGAAGTCCTCCAAAGACTTTTTTATATTTTATTTATCATTTACAATCTCTTAATTATTAATTCCCGTCAAAAACCAAGGAAAAACATTTTCTTTTTTCATTTTTAAGCGCTGTATTTTCTTACCAAGTGCTCTATAACTTAATATTAGAAATATAAAAATTGTGAAGATATTGCAGTTACTTAATGGCGATTTCAAACATTTGAAAGATGACGAAAACGTCATCAATGAAACAAAAAAGGGGGGAATGACGCTTAATGGGAAAGCGGTGCGAATTTGTTTTAAAAAATGTAATTAAAGATAGGGGGAAAGGAAAGGGAAGATCGACTATTTTAACCAGCTAAATAAAATTATATCTTATATTAGTGACACCCACATTTAATTTGACTTACAAGTAATAAACGTTTTTGTTAAGCTTTTCGGATTAACAGGTCTTTTGTTTATTCCATGTATGGATTTTGCTGAAGCATATGAACATCGCAAGTTGATCGTATACGCATCCCAGAAAGTTTCACATTCAGCTACCATCAAGCCCAGTCTAAGTATCGCTGACGTGCTTCAAGCCATCAAATGTCACTTCATCCAGTTCGTTAAGCAAAGATATACACTCACAATAAAATGGTTATTCCGAAATATTTAATTCACATATCTAACAAGAAATAACATCCCATTTTGAAACACATGTTTTCGTGCTTAATTTATCTTATTAAATAAACTGATGCAAGGCAAAATAATCTTAATTTGAGATGCTGAGTCTGTATTACATTCCTGGTTATACGAAAATGGTTGACAAAAGATCGCACTCTTCTGAGGCAAATAATTGCCATTTTTCCATAATCAGTGTACTACGCAAGAGTAATGAATATATGTCATTACATAATGAATTCCTCTTCTATCCTGTAAAGACGGGGACCCTGCTGGAGACCATACAGGGCCTCTTGGTCTGTCGATTAGCCACCTTTATTTAAAGGCATTAACCTTTCATGAACTTCTTACTGTCAAACCCCTTTCGTTCGTATCCCGGCGAATGGGCTTTCGTGGTTTTCCCCATGTGTATACGAGGCAGTTTCCCTTAAGAAGTCCTTCCCGAAGGCATCCTTACCCTTAGGCAGATAGCCTTCGAGTGCTTTGCAAAAAGCCTTCGAGTGCTTTCCGGAGTTCGAATCCCGGCGAGGACATTGTGGATATCTTCAGTTTCCTCATACAGGAAAATTCTAAGACTCTCACAAGCGACGCCAGAACTAAAAAGATGGTGGATGGTAACCACCAGGATTTAGCGGATGGGTACTCTAATCCACAGTCGCCCTTAAAAAAGGGGGAGTATATAAGGTATTTTATCCCTTCTTTCAGCATGCTTTCGTGGTGTAACTGGAAGCATACTCGGCCCGTGTGCAGGAGGTCCGGAGTTCGAATACCGGTGAGGGAGTTGCACATATTTCGCATTTCCTGCATCGATATACCCTAATGACTCTACAAGTTCTTTGCATCCAAAACAATTATTGACGCAGGACAGAAGGATTTATGAAATTAGAGTCTTTGTAAAATGAAATGAAATGTAATAAAAAGTAACTTTCATTATGCACTGATAGATAAACCTTAGACTTTCAAAGCAAAAGGGGGGAAGCTGTTTTGAAAGATGTAGATTCATTGGCTACAGATTATGAATTACACAGCATTTAATGCTAATTTTACACTTTCATTCAAAGAACAGCTTCAAAACACAAAAAGCAGCAATATCCAACTGATAACTTGATAAAAACTTGAAGAAAGCTTGATAAAAACTCGTTTCACTAGTTAAGATATTCTAGATTTGAATACAATGATTCTCAAACGTGTTTTTCTCTTTAATGTATGTAGCTAGTGACAGTCAGTAGCTGGAATTACCGGCATTCCAGTTTGCCAAAATCAAAATACCTTTTACAATAAAAGAAAACGGAAAAGGAAATTTTTGCCTTCAAAGGATATGAATTTTTTCCCCCCATTAATAAGTATAACATTATTGCATCGAATATTCTGTTTGAAAGGGAGAGTTTGAACTTAATTTTAAAGTGGTTGCTTATTTTCAGTTTCATTTCCTCCACTTAATTTTTGTCTCATTTCATTACTAAAAGTATGTTTTAAATATGTTATTAATGATTACAGATATTATTTAAATTTCACACACATTGCTCTACACAATATGAAATATAATTGAGGTTCTAAAATATATTATTTCTTGGAATTTCTCAACACGAAATGAAAAATGAGGCACAAATTCAGCTTCATAACTTATGAATATAAACTGATTCATATTTTTAGTTGCAAACACTTGATAAACATATGAAATGACATACAGAAGGATGGATTGTCCGACGAGAAACCACTTTAAAAAGAAATTTAATTTAAAATCATTGGATGTTAACAAATTTCAATTGTGAAGCAGCTGATAAATTAATTCTTGCTCAGTAGTTTCAAATGTGGCTAATTATTTATTACTATAATTTACGCTCCACACGATTTCAGTAAAATTTGAAACTTGTTAACGAATTTGTTCCTCTACAAAACTGGTCATTATCACAAGGTCCTACTAAATTGATGCCAAATTTCCTTCATTAAAATAATCATTAAAATTTCTATTGGACTTTCTCTCAACTTTAGTAACACAGATTGCAGGTTGAGAAACTGACAGTCGTCTCTACTGTGAATGACATGTAAACTCTAAAAGAAAATTTATACATTTTATCACTATGCACCATGAAGATTTCTTGTCAGCGTCGCATACTAGAATTCTGTAAAATTAATATCACTGGAAATTCCAGCGAAAGAAAACGATACGGAACCCGCAAGCCCTTATCTAAGTTTTGAACTATAATCAAATTTACTCGATTCTTTATTTTGGAAGCACTGAAATTTAATGCAGATAATTTTGATTAAAATCCCCGCCTTTTATTACATTTACACCTCGCTTTGCGAAATTACATTTAAACATCGCTTTGCGAAATACTGTTTTCCGTAACGTACTTTTACGAAACATTTGATATTAGAATTAATTTTGGCCTA